CTCTCTTACTCTTTCCATTGAACCCTATCGTGGGTTAGTAGCATTTATCCCTTTACCAAGCCCTCAACGCTTCGTTACTTTACAAATAACTTACTTCCTCAGCTAAACCTGCAGTGGTATGAGGATAAAAATGACCAAAGTTTCTATTTTACAAAGTTCCTTCGCGATAGTCTATCAGAAAACTGAGATATCACTGTTCCGAGACATCGACCAACCCCAAAAGCAAACAAAGTGTCATTGACTAGTGTTTGCCAAAAGGCCTAAGATGACTTTATATACGTATTGTAACTATCGTCTCAACGATTATACACTACTATCCCGTGTCATTTTATGCCTCGTTGCTTTGACTTCATTAATGTTCAGTTCAAATAATAGGAAGGTTAAAGAATTTTCCACTCAAATAATTTAAATGAATAAAGGAATGATTCAAGAGAATTTAACCTTTTGTTCTTAAAGAAAACTGATTCATAAAGGTAAAAAAGCGGAATAGTTGAAGTTAATAAAGTATTAACATTGTATCTTGTACTTTATTGTTGGATTGAAGATTCTTTGGTAATTTCAACTTCAAATGATTCATAAATTTATTTATTGAACACTCCGAAATCGAGGAATAAAATTATTGTTTATTTCTTGAAAATATAGAAAAATAATTAAAAAATTTTTATCAGTAACTATGAAAATATATCTCAGCTTGCAAGTGTGTTACATTATTCAGATATACTAGGATGTTGTCCGTAGAAAGTGTCCGCTGACGAATGGATAATAATTTTAATGCTTTGAAAAATCAAGTCAGTTACTCAATTTTCAATATCTTACGATTATTGACTAATTTCATATGTTCATATAAATTCATGATAGAAAATTATTTAGTAGAGAATTACTACTGCAAAAATAGATCTGGGTGTGACTTAGCTTACGCACACTAAAAATTTTCCGTTCAGGATCGTTACATTTTTAAAAGATGCATTTTTAAGGAATAAGTTAAATTTGATAAAAATTTCAGTCATTTCCCTCAAAATATACAAGACGCCAACAAGTTTACAAATTAACGTATATACATACGAAAGTATCCTCTCAAAAACTATGTAATTTGTGGCTCTAGAAGACTCAAAACGGAAAGATACGTTTAAATTCCCTATTTAAACAGTTATAACTATCATTTTAATGTAACTTTCAAATAAAAATATTGAATTGAACACATTTATAAAATTACATTTGTATACATACTAATACTTTCAAACATTTCATATTCATATTAACCAAAAACAAATGTAGGAAATCATAATAATGAATGATAATCAAATAGCAAAAGTAATTATTTGTTTCTTGATTATTGTGAAAGCTTGAATGCAGAAACAGTAAAATGCACTCGAATAACTACAAAGTTAAATGAACATTTGATCAATTTCAAACGAATTAACAACAGTTCCGTCGATGGAAGATTGAGCATCATTAAAAAGGTATAGATGCGAAATCAATGAATTCTTTGTAATTTACACCGATACTTCATTTTAATTACAAACTGTTAAGGAAAAATTTAAATAATAACTCTCTTTTAACAAGAATTCTCAATAATAAAAGGGATATATAATATATTAACAATATCTACGTTCTCAGAATTGAGCATGAAATTGTTTAATATTTCTTTTGGCTAAAAAATATTTTTACATCACGTCAAAGTGCAAAATATATCAAATGGTCTCATCTTTCTCCACATTAAGAAAAAAAGACACTATCACTAAATATTTGTTTTTTAAGTAAACATCGTTCATTAATTTCGGAAATAACAATAGAAAAATTTATTTAATAATATTTGATATGTAAATCATTACTTATAATTGAAAAAGAAATCGGAGACAATAATTGATTATTATAACAGTAAGTTTTCGCGACTATAGTTACTACGAATATGCTTTATATATTACGAATATACTTACGTTACGAATATATATATTACGAATATACTGTATATATAAAGTATATTTGAGTATATAAAAAGTTAATCAAATCAGTATTTGAAGTTATTCCGAATAATTTTTTTTTCTTCTATATGACTATAATTTACATAATAATTTTTACTTTGCTTATATTCTATATAAAGTTTCTTTATAACTTAGGTTTATTGTAAATGATTGGTTCGTAACTCTGGTGCTCAATATTTTTTATTCTATATTGCTACAAATCTTTTATCTGGATTAATTCTCATGACCTTCGAATAATTCTTATAAAAAATAATTATTATAAATGAAAAAAAAATTTCTGAATGTTGAAATATAGTCGTAGTTGTTATGTCACAAAAATACCTTTTCTTCAAAATAACTTATATGTTATTTTGATAGTTTTTCAATTCTCATAGATTCTTAATACAAAAAATTGATTTCGATGCAATTGGTTGGCATCTGAATTGCATCTTTTGTGGTCACTACTTTAACAGAATAAATATAATATTGTTTAAAATAAGTACTTCACATACAGGAGGATAAAAACTTCAATTTATTGTTTTGTTAGCTTAGTTGTCAAAATTGACTATTAATATTTTTGATTTAGTTTAATGTAAAAAAATTTTTAAAAAATACATATAAGCCTATTATGAAGTAAAGTATTTATACATTGGTCGAATGTTTAGCTAACAAGTATAATTCATGGGACAATACTTGATTTAAGTAACCGCTCAAGCCATTCGCTTTTCATTGAAACAACTACCATCAGTACTTCAGTTAATTCCTCTAATTGTAAGCTTTTACTCAGTTTCATATGTTCTAGACGATAATGAGTAATAATTATCAATTAGTTCAATTGTTAAGGAATAAACTGGAAATTCAAGTTTAATCATTTATATTGTATGCTAACTAGTATTTAAAAATACTATTTTGATAAAACAATCTTAATATTAAAATATTTAAACTTTTTAATTCGAAAATTCACTTATTCTCCTTAGTATTTTAAAAAAAGTGTAAATAAAATACTGTATATTTGAAAGCATAACTTCGAATATGTTTTAAATTACTGTATTGAAAAATCAAAGATTTTAAAAATCTAAAGTTTTTACACAAAAAAAGATTTTTTATTGTTTGTAGCCAACACTATTAGATGTAGACTAGCCAATGTTTAGCGTGTGACTAGCATAAATACATTTGTGCAAGTTACGTACTTGATATAATTATAATAAAAAATATACAATGCAAAAAATATGATATAGTAAAAAATAAAAAAGAATGCTTACAAATACATGTACACATGATATTAGTACATGACAAGAATACATATTAACCTCAAACGAATGAATAAAATTGATTAATAATTGTTTCAATTTTTAAGAAAAGTCTTAATTTTGATTTTTCTTCAGTTTACTCCAGATATTTAAAAAAAAATTTTTGTCACAATAAACTATTCTTGATATATTTCACCTATCAATTTTGATTCTCTGAAACTTTGCTTCTTCATTATTTTACTTTTGACTAAATACATGTACCGATTGAATTTTAGTTGAAGACTGACTTTAGACTAAAAAGAATTGAAGATATTCTCTCCTCAATACTTTTTTGCCGTTTATCCATTCCTTAATACGTTTTAAGTTAAAAAAATTTACTAATTGTTTTTTAATTTCAAACAAGATTACTATTAGATCATGAAAAATGTTAATAATCATAGACCAATTTTATGATTAATAATAAATGAATATCTTTTGTTTATTGATTAACAAGTTTAATGTTATGATTTAAATTTTTCCATGAATGATTGATAAAATAAACTTAAAAAACAAACATCTTTATTAAATATATATTAAATAATGGTATTCTATAATCAGACGAAGTAATAAAGAAAAAATGGTTTTATTAATTATCCAGTTTAAACACAATTAATAACGAGATGACTAACTTTTCTCTTTATAATATTTGATAATGCTTAAAATCAGAACATACGAGAATAAAAAAATACGTACGAGTATAATAATTACTTTTAATATTATTAAATAAATAATTAACTATAAATTTATTTCAATCGTGACAATTTACCCTAGTTAAAAAATAAAATTTTCTTTCGACTTTAAAAAAAGGACAAAAGCAGATCAAAACTAAAAATTGTCTTGACCAAATTTGGAGCTACATTCGTAACAACTGATCCAAAATTAAGTCTTGTTTCCCAAGTCCAAACCAGGTCTAAAAAGCTGATTTCGACTTAAATATACATATGTCTTTCTTTCTACAAAAATGTATTAGTATATGTTTGAGTAAATATCTCAACCAAATAACATTTGATTTAAATTTAAAACACAAATAGAAAAAATTTAATGGTAAATTATTTTATTTATGTTGTATTTCAATCGTTCAGAAAAACTATCAAATTAACTGGAGATTCTAAGAAAAGTACTAATTTCTTCACCTTCTTCCAATGGAATTTGAGCCTGCAACCGCTCAATTTGAGAAAGCAGTGCCTTAACCCGCCTAGCTACTCGGTTATCTTAAATTTTAATTTAAAATACATGTATTCCCCATAAGCTTTTATTTGCTATTGACATTAGGCCTAAAGCAGATCTTGTATTCCTCTTAAGAATTAAAACCTGTTTTCGATTTAATAGCTTTGAAAGAATAATGTTTATTTTATTAAAGTACACCAAAACCAAGTTTAAATCGTCTAAATTAAATCACTTATAGTGACTTATAGTAATAAGATCTGGCTTCAACTTAAAAATTAAAATAATAATAATTTTATTGTGAAGAGCTATGTCCGAACCAAGGGCAAATTTTTCTAAATCAGGTCTTATTTTTTAACTCGGGAATTTTTATCGAATATTCAAATTACTTGCGTACAAACATACCTCTTATCTTATTTAGATACCTAACTATAGTAAATATGCAATATTTAAAAAATCCACATTATTTAATAATTAAAATTTTCGTTAATAACATCATAGAAAAACATTATGTACACTAAATACAAATAGTAAAAAACTATTTATAGTATTTAAGCTAAATATTTATCCATCTTATTGTACTCACCTCAGCCAATGTTTTTTAGTTATTGAAGTATGACAACAAATAACATCATATTGATCAGCAATCCATACAATGAGTATAATATAAAACGCAGTCGTGGTATCATTGAAAAACTCAGACATTATAGTTTCCATTCCTAAAACATAAAAATAAAGGCATGAATTAAAATTAGCATAAAGATTAGAAAGTTTATGTAGATATAATTGTAGATTGACACAACTTCAGTTAAAACTTGTTTTATGTACTCGAAAGAAATTAAACTGAAGTGTTTGATCGAATCTGTACTAAACTCAAAAGTTTTTTCAATATGAAAAAAAGAAGAAAAAGGAAAAGATGAAGAAGGTAGAGAGACAAGAGAAAGAGAAATAAAGATGGCGATAAAGATTCGCTTTACTCTTCTTCAAGTCTCCTTCGGGAACATTGAGAGGACGTTGGGATGAGATAGAAGTGACTAATGGTTCAACGCTGTTAAGTTCATTTGATGGAAATTTCTCCTACTATGCAGCTAGATCGGAGTTGTACGTTGAATTGCTCGAGAATCCCAACATCCTTCGCAACCTCAACACTAATCGGAAATTTATACAGCTAGCTTCGTCTTTCTACTATATATGTACCCAACTCGATTTCATCTTTTCATACCAATTTCTTAATAGCAAACGTAGTATTAAAAAAATATTTATCAATTCGTTGTATTTTGAAAAATTTTATTCAAAATAATCGAATAATTAATGTGATTTTATGTAGTAAGATCATTCACTGTTGGATTCTCTGAACAAAAATGAATCTTATTTAGTTAATATTTTGTTTATTTTATTTCATAGCTTTTTAAATATTAAACTTATGGTTAAACTCAACACTTAGTTATAAACATATTTTTCAAGAAAAGAACCAAGGCCCAACCCTGTTTTATGACTTCAGACACTTGGTTCATACAAAGGACTCTTTCTTTATTAAGTTTTTGGTACTCTATCTTCAGAGTATTGCATGTGTTTTATTTATTATAACCATCTGTAATGTTTAAACAAATAGAGAAGAGGCTTAGATCTCTTTGCCTAAATAATACTTGAGTTTAAGGTCTTTAGTCAGTTCTGTACGACTATCTGTAATATAATGTAAGGACGTTTTCTCTAAATGCAATCCGTGAAAAGAATAAAGAACTAAGTTATATATTTTTTTAAATAGAAATTCAACTTGTACTTGATTTCACAAATACCCATCCTAACTTCCAATATTCACGTTATCATGATTTATTTTTGTAAAAATAACACTGATTAAAATAATCATTAATTTTTATTCATTTGTTAATAATGAAATAAGCGACTGAATTAATATTTAAGCAATCAAAATAAAATGGACTAATTTTTGAACTTGTAAAACATTCAAAGCTATTTTTGTTTTTTTTATAACTCACATTTTTCATTCAAATTGATGTCATCCTAAAAAAATGACTGACAGAAAAAGTAATGAATAAAATTTCAGGCAACTATCAGCTGATCAATGATATCCTTGTGAAAGTGACACGACAAATTGTCCACCAGTTCTGAACGATCAATCATTAAAATAATTTATTCTCCAACTCTTGATATAAAGAGACAAATGTCATTGATACTATATTAGAACGAAGACTTTTTTCTCTGTTAATGCACTTTTATAATTAATATTATGGAGTTTATTCTTTAAGGCATCATTTCATGTAGAGAAAAAAATGACATCGTAGTTGCTTTGAACAAGCCGTATAATTTTCACAGAGATATCAATGGATAGCGAAATTCTATATAATTAGTTATATTCTGTTTTATTCATAATTATGCTCTTTTAACACTCCCCATACTAACATAAATTTATTCGCATTATGGACTTTATCCATGCTATTTTTTTCTTAATTTTATTTTAAAGTTGTTAATTAAAAATGTATACTTTTAAGAAATTGACATGCTTAAGATACAACCCTTACATTGAATTAATTGTAGCTACCAATACGATAGTATTTTTCGAACAATTCGATAAATTTGATTTAAAATAATAGTTGGATTAAAAATAATGGAATCTTCCAAAACATCGAGCTGAGTATTATCAACGTTTTTCACCTTGTGTGATATGTAACCCAGTCTATTAGCCGAATAACTTTCCCCAAGCAATTAAATCGATGAACTGTACGATAGATTTAACCCCTGTGAATTTAATATCAACATACACCATTATTTTCATTTATTTTGTTGTGATATACTCTGAATTTTCTCATTGAAAAATTATATTAACATGAAATTTTTTCATTATTTACTTACATTACTTTTACAAACTTTTTCAGAATAATCGAAATCATACATATATCTACTCTTTATTTGTACTTCTCGATTTATTCCAAGTTTCAGCAAAAAAAATTTCTATAAATTGAATACTCCAATAACGTTTTTATAAAAAAAAAATTTTTTATGCATATTATAATCGCTCATGTTTAGATCAAAAAATAATTTACTCAATAATTAGCATTTGATTCCACTTCATCTCTTCGAAAAAATGTTAATAACATTTACCACTAATATAATAACTATACAAAAATTATCATAATTCATTTTTTCGTAACAAAAAACAATTTATCACAAAGTCACAAAAGACAATAAAAAATACAATATTGTCAAAAAGTAATGAGTGTTAATGACTACTAGATTGTGTGACATTTAGTCGGAATGAATACCTAGATTAAATTACAAATACTAAGAAACACTATTTTATTCAATAGTCACGAAAGAGTAAATACTTTTATGTACAAAAGATAATTGTAATGAATGATACTGCTAATGTTTTTATTACTGACAAGTGACAATTTATGTGGTGACTTAACCTATGCAATATCTTACTACTAATTTAAATATTTTAAAGAAAAGAGCAAAAGATAAATTTGAAAACATAAAAAAAAATTAAATAATATTTAAGAAAAATAATAATAATAATAATAATAATAATAATAATAATAATAATAATAATAATGTCTGGCCGAGGGGTGCTCCTCTCGCTACGGTAATGGAATAAGTCCGTACAGCCAGTTTTTCCCTCCTCACTGGTGATGGCCTTCTGGGCGTGAGGAACGAAACTATCCATCTCGGTTTCGTTAAACATCACCACCTTTGCAGTGGGCTGACCACCCCTGCAAGGGATCTTAACAGGTTACTAATGATAGACCTGCACCGGCCCCCCACAACCGGCCCTCTTCGGATGAGGGCCACGGAACAGTTGGGAGGGGCCTTACGATACGTTCCAACAGCTATACTGACCACGGACCACCCCTACAGCGCCTCAGGTGGACGGAGGAGCTGAGACGGGATTTGATGCAGTGTTGGGAGAGATGCGAGCCACAGACCTCAGGCTATGCCAGGCGCCTGCATACTCTGTGGTGCGAAAGGCACCCAGAGTTACAACATCTAACGCAGGCGGCGCTCGCATCGCAGGTGCGGTATACTCAGTCTCGACGGCGGATAGAAGAGGAGTCAGACTCTGACTCTTCAGTATCAAACGCTTCAGAGACTGAGGGCGAAGTCTCACTAACACCCGAGACAGCCGCACCGAGGTGGAGCATACTCCCGTTCCACCCTTCTCTCACTGCAGAACCCCCATCTCCTCCCCCTGAGGGCACCAATCACCAGGACTTCACCAGCAGAGAGGGTAATTTTCTCCGGAAAATTACGCTCTCTGCAGAACACCTAGCTAGCGCTAACCAAGATCTCGACCATCGGGTACCAGATAGTGTAGATCTTTTTGCACTCAACAATGCAGTCTATGATGTGGCTCGAGGGTTTACTCAGGTCAGACGAACACCTGTCAATCCTGAGTTAAGCCTGAAAAGACGCATCGAACAGATTGCAATTAAGATCAAGAAGGCTCGACAGGGTGCATCTCGTATTCAGAGTGTGATGGATCACTTAAATACTCACAGGCCTTATACGCCAAGAATTCGGCGTATCGTGGCGAGTATCAGACGTGAACATCACACTGTGAATACGGCCGTGTTACTGATCCTAAAGGAAAGGTACACAGGCAAAATAAGATCGCTAATGGCCGTTAAAAAGTCATTAGCAATGCGGTACAAGCGACGAAGGGACAACAGATTGTTCCAATCTGACCCTTCGCGCTTTCTTAAGCCGCAAGCCCCTGTCACTTATGAGCCCCCGAGTGCAGAAAGAGTTGAAACCTACTGGACCGAAATATATGGTCGCGCTAGTGCGCTAGATGTAGACACTCCAGCCCTTCAACTGTTCAGAGAATTCTGTGACGAACATCTATCACGAATTCCTGAAGAGTTTTAACGAGTCAGCATGGATGAAATCAGGAATGCTCTAAGGGGCACAAAGAACTGGGCTGCCCCTGGGCCAGATGCAATCCCCACCTTCTGGTGGAAGAAATTGACCTCATCCCACCAGCATCTGGCTCGTATCTTCTCAGAATATCTAGGAGGAGATACACCCATTCCTGGATGGCTCGTTGAAGGGCGTACTGTGCTGATCCCCAAAAGTGGTGATCTGTCCAACCCCAAAAACTACAGGCCTATTGCATGTCTAAATACTCTCTACAAATTGTTTACAAAGATTTTGAACGAGAGGATTTTGACTGCAATAGAACCTGTATGGAGACAGATAAACGAACAACGTGGCAGCAAGCGTGGCCTGACAGGTTGCAAGGAGAACTTGCTAGTAGACCGATGCGTCACAATGGACGCATACTACTACAAGCGCAACTCGTCAATGGCCTGGGTGGATTACAGAAAGGCATTTGATACAACATCACACGAGCTTCTCCTCTACTTGCTCGAATGCCTTTCAGTACCCCCACAAATAGTGAGATGCATCGAACATCTGATGCCGCTCTGGAGGACACGTTTCACCGTAACATCTGGTGAAACAAAAGTGTCTACCAGAGCAGTGCCATTTAGGAGAGGCGTATACCCTGAGTCCTCTTCTATTTTGCATCTCACTGCTGCCATTATCTGTCACTCTACGCCGAACGCCTGGATATAAAGCCGGACGAGTCTCCAACCGCGTACACAAAGTCACACATCTATTTTATATGGATGACTTGAAAGTGTACGCGGCAAGTCCTGAGAGACTCCGAACAGCCCTAGAGGTTGTTTCCGAGTATACCAGT